AATAAAGATATTGTGCCCACCTAAAACTAAAAAATAAATTTAAAAAAGAAAACAGCTTGGGCCAGGTATGGTGGCACACACCTGTAATCCTAGTGACTTGGGAGGCTGAGGCAGGAGGAATGAAAGTTCAAAGCCTGCCTCAGCAACTCAATGAGGCCCTAAGCAACTTAGTAAGAACTTTAAAAGGGTTGGGACAGGGCTGGGAATAGAGCCCAGTTGGTAGAGTGCTTGTCTCATATGCACAAGGCTCTGGATTCAGTCCCCAGAACCACACACACAAAAAAAGGGCTGGGACATAGCTCAGTGCTAAAGCGCCCCTGGGTTCAATCCCAGCATCAAAAATAAAGAAAGAAAGAAATCAAAATAAAATAGAAAACAGCTTGGCAGTTTCTTTAAAATTAAACATATATTTACCATATAGTCCAAAGATTTCATATCCAGGAATTTTCCCAACAGCAATGAACACAGGTCTACCCAAAGTCAAGTATATGAATGTCTACAGCAATTCCTAATTGCCAAAAAGTGGAAACAACTCAAGTGTTCATCAAGTGACCAATGGTTAAATAAAATATGTTGCTGGATGTGGTTGGTGGTGCACACCTAAAATCCCAGGGACTCAGGAGGCTGAGGCAAGAGGATTGCAAATTCAAGTCAGCCTGAGCAACTTAGTGAGGCCTTAAGTAACTGAAAATTACTTAATGAAACATTAAAAGGGCTGGGAATGTAACTCAGTGTTACAGCAGCACTCTGGGTTCAATTCCCCAACCTCTGACCCCCCAAAAGTGTGTTACATATAGTAGAATACTACTCAGCAATGAAAAGAAGAAAAGTTACTAATATATGTTACAAGGATGAGCCTCAAAAACACAATGCTAAGTAAAAGAGGCTAGAACTTGAAAAGTCTGCATATAATCTATTCTATTTATACAACATGTTCAGAACATGCAAATTTACAGACAGATCAGTGATTGCCTAAGGCTTGGCGGGAGAATAAAGATTAACTACAAATGGGAATGAAGAAATTTTGAGGGGTGACAAATGTCTCAAAATAGATTGTGCTAATGGTTATACAACTCTGTACATTTTACTAAAAGTAAATAATATTCATACAACAAATGAATTTTAGCTATGTAAATGTTTCCTCAATCAATCAGTTAAAGTGCAAGTTCTAGGACCATACTTTGGGGATTCTTATTCAGATGTGGGGAGGTGCCCAGAAACAGCCTTTTTTTTTTTTTTTCAGTTGCAAATGGACGCAATACCTTTATTTTATTTTTATGTGGTGCCAGGGATTGAACCCAGTGCCTCAAGCATGCTAGGCAAGTGCTCTATCACTGAGTCACAACCCCAGGCCCCCCGAAACAGCTTTTTTTTTTTTTTTTTCACCAGGGATTGAACCCTGGAGTGCTTAACCATTGAGTCACATCCCAGGCCCTTTTTAGTTTTTGTTTTGAGACAGAGAGACTTGCTAAGTTGCTTAGGGTCTCGATAAATTGCTGAGGCTGGCTTTGAACCTGAGATCCTCCTGCCTCAGCCTCTGGAGCTGCTGGGATTATAGGCGAGTGCACAGGGCCTAGCCAGAACTACATTTTTAGCCAGCACCACCAGGGGATCTTGATGCCTTTGCTTCTGTAGTTCACACTTAGGGTCCCAGGAGTCCAAAGCCTTGAGTGTGTGGCTGAGGCAGGACAAAGGCAAACAGGAGGGGCAGTGACCCTTCCCCTCAGCCTTCTTGTGTCTCCTCTACCCCAGTAGGACCTGCTGGTTAAGTTTCCTTCTCAACAACTGCAAGAGGATTTCTTTTAAACATACTCTCATCCCTTCTCCCCCCTTCTTCACACTCTTCCATGGCTCCCGTTGTCCTCAGGTTAAGTCCAAACTATCTGCATTGCCACTGTTTTTTTTCTAGAGCAGACAGCAGCCTGGGAGGCAAGTAAGGAAGGGTTATGGAAATGCAGGGTTAGATTCTGTCTTTGTGTAAGATTTTGATATTATGTTTGTTATTATCTTGATTCATGCGGTGAGTACCTCACTCCTTAACTTTCAGAACCTTCCCGGAGCCCAAGAAGGCAGAGGAGCTAGTGACATCAGCCACTGTAGGGGAGACTCCCTGAGACTGAACAATTGATTCTCCTGCTTTCCAAGAGGGCAATCACCCACTCTCTTTTGGGAGAGAAGGAGGGATGCAATTCAATTCTTAACTCTAAACCACGCCCCTACAGCTGTGACTGTATAACATGAAACCTACAGGAACTTTGACTCTTTTTATCCTATCTGGTTTTCCCACAGAAAGGGCATTTGCACATGCTTTTTACCCAGTGCCGTAAAAGTAGATCGGCTCTTTCCATACTCCCTCTCCCAATGTACTCAGACTTAAAATCCCATCACCTAGTACCCACTGAGCACCCACTCACTGCACCTGGCTAAAATCTCTCTTCTAGGAAGCCTCCTGACCTCAGGCGCTTTGCGGCTGGCTCGGCTCATTGTCCTGTGAGTTCCTATGGTGTCTTGCACAGACACCCTTACCCACCCACCCCGCCTTTCTTGACTGGAAAATATTTCTGCGCAGCTCTTTCCCCTACCATTACCGCCTGCTTTCTGTTTCTCTGGGACGGGTTGCAAAACTGGAGGTGACAACTGTGCGCAGAAAATGGAGGGCTCCCAACTTCCCCTCTGTTAGGCCTTAATCCAGTCTGCCACCCCCAAACCCAAGTTGTGGCTGCAAGGGGCAGACGTGGAAGTGTGTGGTGGGTCTGCGCGTCGCCGGCCCTCCTCTCCAGGGCAAGTGCCTGGAATCTGCCAAGATTGCATAATCCCGGGCTGGGCCCCTAGGGCTTCCAGGCTCGCACCCGGGTGGCACAGGTGAGATGGAGGCCCAAGGATCTGTCTGCTGTGGGCTGGGGCGACCCGGGTTTCTTACGCAGGACCCTAACCCTTTGTAACGCAGCCGCCCCTCCAGCCAAGGCTGGAGGACCTGGAAGAGTGGGACGCTTCAGCTGGCCAAGAGTAACTTTCTATAATTAAGGCCCCCGGGCAGAGTGGGGTCCCTCATCGCACCCGGCGGGCGCTGGAGCTCCCAAGGAAACAACAGGGACTTCCAGTGCTCTCTGAAGGGTCCGAAGACGAAGAAAGGCGCTAACCCATTGCACAGTTGGAGACCCGCGGGGCTAGCGGTGAGGCCGGGTCCCGCAGCGACCGCTGAGGACCAGGGCAAACTGCCCGCTGCGCGGGGGGTGACGAGGCTCCTGGGTGCAGGACTGAAGGTGGGGCCATCGTCGGCACAGCGGCTGCTCTAGGTGGACACCGCGGGAGCCAGCAGTACTTTGGCTTTTGCGAGGACCGCAAGCTCAGGCACCGACTCTCTACTCCCCAAACGTCTGCCTGGAGGCCGATTGGCTAATTCTCGGCGCAAGGACGAAGCACTTCCTCCCGCCGAGCGCTCGGGGCCCTGGCCCCTTTATTCCCGTTTTGCTGCAGCGCCTTGGGCTGTAACTCAGGTTCCCCGCTTAGGTTACCGGCTTTCCACCTCGCTCCGCTAGGCCACCTGAGATCTGGCACTGCCATCCACCAGGTGTGCGAACTCACGTCCGTGCCTCCTGCTGGCTCCATCAAGCCAGCTCGCAGAGCCCAGACACTCACTGTGTCCCTGGGACTGCCTTCGGGGCGCATCTAAGATTCAAGAGTTTTGGAACCTGATGTCCTTTGAAAGAAACCAGCTCTGGTTCCTAGCTATAATTCAGGATTAAGGTACTCTGAGTAACAGCAGATTGTTTTACCCTTCCTCAGGACAGGCTTCCCAGAACTTGCCGGTGGGGAGCTCCAGGAATTGGGATGTCACCAATAGCTGAGGTTGTGAGGAGACCCCAGCAACTACACTGTGCACCCCACCCAGCTCAACTAGCAGGGCTTTGTTGGCTTAGTGGACAGCTCCTGTCCTGATAGAAGGTACTATCTCCAAGAGTCTTCCATTATACTTGGTCCACTGTTCTCGGAGATAGGATCATCCTTGAAATTCCCCAGTTCCTGGCCCCCACCCAGGTTCAAGGACAGGTAACCTAGGTTCACTCACTCACTTGGTCCTCAGGCCCCAAAAGCCATTCAAGGTTGTGTCTCATACCCCTGATTTTACTAATGCAAAAGGACACCTGGAAAATTTACAGGAAGGGAATCTCACATGTCTAGAAATTATCAGATACCAAAGGATAAATTCCAAGACACAACAGAGATCCTGACACATACACTGAGAACTCCAAACAGAAATGTACCCCAAAGTACAAAGATGCAAATTACAAATACACTCACACTAACAAAGACATACCAAGAAATATCCGACACCTGGGAAAGGAACATGTGGACAGGTACAGGACTTTGAACTCTAACAGAGACAGGGACATCCAGGAGTACGCAGGCCCTGACCCACAAACATACAGCCTAATACAACAATATTCAGTTCTTCTAAGCCTACTAGCTGCAGGAAGCTCCTGCTGAAAGAAAATTCCCTAGCAGAAAACTGAAAGGGCCTCAAGGCTCTTCAGGGAAGGAAGGGTAGGAGAGCCACTGCTAAGCTCCAAAATGCTAACGCTCTGTAAAGTGGAAATCATCCACAAAAATCTGTGGAACAACACTCCCATTCCCACCTCTTAGGAAATAGGGAAGTGGTTTAACTCGTTCTGCAAATTAACTCCAGATCCACAAGAGCGCCCTCCCCTTGGCGAGGGAAGGCCAGGCCCAGGAGTCACAGCCAAGGGAGCGGACCCAGCTCAGGCCACCGCAGGCGGCAGGCTTCAGGACAAAATCACAGACCCCGGCTCTACTGCCCAGCATCTAGCCAGGCTCGCAGCCTTCGCTGTCCCTCTAAGGGTTCGTGAAGAATGTTCAGAGGCCACCGAGCCTGGTGACGCACATGAGGCACTGGCGGCAGTGAAGAAAGTGGGTCTGTGCTCCCTGGGCCTGCACTATCTCGCCTGGCTCTGCCCTGGCAGTTACACGCCATTCCTTACCTTTCTTTATCACAGACTGGTCCAGGAGGTTCATTCCCGGCTCATCCATGGCCTGCAAGTAGGTGAAGGTGGCAGTGAGGGCGTGAGTAAATCTAGTCGTCTGTTGCTTCCCAAGCCCCTGCTGCCCCTATCTCTGTCCGCTCAGCTCTGCGTGCAGCACAGCCGCCCGAGTCGGCGACGGGCGGGGCAGGGATAGCGGTGGCTCGCACTATCTACCTGGCGCCAAGGTGGAATCCTGGGTACTCACCGTGGCTTAGACAAGCAACTACTGCGCCTCCCTTCGCTCCAGGAGCAGGATGCCCCAGAAGACTGCCCATCAGACGGGAATGGATGCCCAACGTGGCTCAATGGCACACCCGAAGAAAGAGAAGAGTTGCGCAGGCACCACGCATTGACAAAGTGCCAGGCTACCTTTAAACTGCGGGCAGTTTCTAAACCAGGACGTGGGATGTATCTTGGAGTCACGAGTGGGAGAACTGGGAGAAAAGTTATGTCCCTACATTTGTCACTTTTAACCTCCAGCCAGGTTGCTAAATGGCCGCAGCCAGAGGGAGCGAGGGGAGGTGGGCAGCCATCCCAGACCCCTCGAGTCTCACCTGCAGATCTTCCAGGCCAGGTGGCGCCGCCAGCCCGGGAAGGCCCAGGGGCGCCTCAGCTAGGCCGTGGGCACCGTCGGCCAGGCTGTGCAGTAGCCGGGGCACTGCGGCGGCGTACTCACGGCGCGGGTCGAGACTCAGAGCGCGGGCGGGCGGCGCCAGCAAGCCGGGCGGCTCGTCGTGGGCGCGGGCGGCAGTGCGGGGCGCGGCCCAGGCAGCCTGCGGAGGTTGTGGCTGCGCCAGGGGCGTCAGGCCACCGTATGGGTCCCCGGCCAGGTGGGGAAAGGCGGCGGCGGCGTCGGGCGCCTGGCCGTAGGGCAGTGGCGGCTGCGGGTAGGGCGGCGGGAAGTAGGGCGGCTGGAAGTCGGCGGCAGCTGCGGCCGCCGGCGTGTGGCAGAGCGGTGGCGCCGGTCCGTAGGCTGCCTGGGACAGAGACGACAGACGGGCCCCGCCAGCCGCTGCGCCGAGCCCGTCGGGGCGCTCCTGGGAAGGAAAGGGCGAGCTAGGTGACCCACGGGCAGCTGAAAGGACCCCAGCCAGAAAGGATCCTTCTTGGCTCCGGAGGATCCAGCTGCCGTCCGATCCTCTTCCTCGGGCCCAGTGTCTATCACCGAATGACCCGAGGGCGCGGGCGCAGGAGCCTCAGGCTGAGGCTACCTACCCACCTCCCTCTAAGCTGGCGGAGTCCTTACTGCTCCCTCCCTCCCTCCGAGATTTCGTTGGCGCAAGGGCAGGAGGTTTGGAAGATGCAGCACGCGGGCTCCTCGATTCTCCGGCCAAGGGTGCCCGGTGCGGCGGGACCTGAGACTACTCACCATGGCGGAGTAAGTGTGCACCAGCATGAGGCGGGTAGTGCGGGGTGTGAGACGTAGCGGTTGCAGAGCTCTCGCCCGACGGCGAGCGCTGCGGGAAGAGGGGCGGGAAGCGGACACAGCCGGCTAGGGTCTCGGCGCGGCACCTGGGTACCACCCAGCCCAGAGCCCAGCCTGTGTAAAGTCCTCAGCTGTGAGCACCCTGAGGCTGGTCCAAGGAAGCGGAAAGGACTGGCCTCTGATGGCACTTGGAAAAGTCGGTCAACGGGTACCCAGCGCCTGCCCCACTCCCTCTGAGAGCAGCCTGCTCCATGCACTCCAGTTATAGTGGCGGGGGCGCGCCAAGCCTCGGGGGCGCGCATTAAAGAGACAAGCGATGGCCTTTCTCTCCTTTTTCCCTAGCGGTCGCCCAAAGGAGGGCGTGGCTTTGGTGTGATCCGGCTGGGTGGGTAGCAGAGAGTGAATTCGACCCCTGCTGATCTAAGCTGCATTCTGGGTTCGAAGCTCTCACAACTGCAGTGAAACAGAGGGTTCTAGGCTGGGACAAAGAGGCCCTGAATTTGCTTAGCTCTCTGGCATCTTCACCTTTGCTCAAAGCACAACTCTTTACTGGTCTCAGCTTCCTCCTCTGTAAAGTGCGCATCATTTCTCAGGAAGGGAAGGTTGAGTTTTAGGGGGAAAAAAAGAGCGATTGATTTAAATTTTTTTGAGAAAAAGGAAAAGATTTATTGCTTTGCTAGCCAAGGAGAAACAGAGGGGACTCCTGTCCTAAAGCCTGTGATTCTGCCCACCAGCAGGAACAGGGGGCTTTTAAACAGGTGATTCAAAGGCTACATTCCATGTATTCTCTGTCTGGAGTTGTAATTCACTTGTTAATTTGGGAGGTTGTCATTTTTTTTTTTTTTAGTTGTTGATGTACCTTTATTTTTTTGCTTATTTATATGTGGTGCTGAAGATCGAACCTGGTGCCTCACACATGCTAGGCAAGTGCTCTGCCACTGAGACACAATCCCAGCCCTGTCATTTTTTTTAAACTGGTTTTATTTTTTAAATACATGACAGAGGAATGCATCACAATTCTTATTACGCATATAGAACAAATTTTCATATCTCTGTTTATATATAAAGTATGTTCACACCAATTCATGTCTTCATACATGTACTTTGGCTAAAGATGTCATCGCATTCCTCCATCATTGCTAACCCCCTGCCTCCTCCCTCTGGCCTACCTAGAGTTCCTCAATTTGGGAGGTTGTCATTTCTGAGATCTTCTGGTACCATTCCCAAAGTCTGGGTTACTTTATTCATGTGGTAATACTGTTTTCCCTGAGATTAGGGAGGGCCAGAGATTAGGGAGGAGCAGGGAGAGAGGAAGAGAAAGAAACATGTCCATTTAAAAAAATAAGTTGCAGTGGCAGAGCAGCATTATATTCAAAGCAAGTGTTATATTTAAAGTGGACTACTGTTACACTTCCCTATTGTCAATTTCTACATTCCATTTCCATGGAAAAATGGGTGATGACATCTCCAAACGGCTTCCTGCTGAAAAGGGGTGAAGTTGGGGAAAGTAACCCAAAGTCCTTGTTCTCTATTGGGTGGGGTGTGGACAGTTAAGGGCATTCAGCATCAGAGCAGGATTGATTTAATCTTTAACCACTTCACCCAACTTTGGATGAGGTGGATGACTGTGAATGTGGAAGAAGTTTGTGAGCTGCAAACTTAAGCTCATGTACACACGTGTCTATGTGCATCTATATGGGGAGTCCCTTTGTCTTGAGTGACTCTGGATCAATACTCCTCTGAAGGTGACCACTTCACTCAGGCTTCCTGCATTAGTATCCCTAATGCCAAACTATGGTCTGAGGAATTTGAAGACACAAACTGGCCAGAGAGAGTTGCTTGTGTTGGGTTTTGGTGTTAACTGCACATGAGAAGGAACTAAGATGTTTTTGAAGCCATAGGAAACTGGGCTGAGTGTGGGCCTGTGACATCTAGATGCTGTAGAGTGAATCTGTGTGTAACTGACTCACGTGGACAGGGTGCAATACTAACATGCATAGGCTGTGTGTTTGTGTGTTATCATGGCAGGCACTGGCTGGCTGTCAAGCATGTTTCAATCTCTATAGTCAATCCCTCCTTTTCCCTTCTAAAACTCAACCTTTCCCTCCTGAGAAGCACAGACAGGGGTTAAATTAAGGCAAATAAGAGGAATGCTAAGGATAATGGGCATTAAGAAAAAAGAAGGAAGATATTTTATTTTTCCATATTTTTATTAGTGCTTTATTGTTGCACATAATGGTGGGATTTGTTGTTACATATTTGTACATGCTCACCATATAACACTATAATTTGGCCAATATCATTCTATAATATTTCCCTTTTCCCTTCCCTCCTTCCTTCCCCTGGTCCTGTTACTCTACTGATCTCCTTTAGATTTTCTTGAGATTCCCCCCCTCACCTTTCTTTTCCTTTTTCCTCTCTAACTCCTTTTTTTATTTTTATTTTTTATATAGTGCTAAGGATCAAACACAGTGCCTGTGTTACGCAAGTGCTTTACCAATGAGCCACGACCCCAGCTCTCCCCTCTAACTTCTACATATAAGAGAGAACATACGATCATTGATCTTCTGAGTTTGGCTTATTTCACTTAACATAAGGTTCTTAAGTCTATCCATTTTCCTGCAGATAACATAATTTCATTTTTCTTTACATAGTTGAATAAAACTCTATGGTGTATATATGCCATATTTTCTTTATCCATTTATCCATTGATGGACACCTAGGTTGGTTCCATAGTTTGGCTATTGTGAATTGTGCTGCTATAAATATGGGTATGCATGTATTGTTATAGTATGATGACTTATTTTTAAAATATTTTTTTGGTTGTACATGGACACAATACCTTTATTTTATTTCTTTTTATGTGGTGCTGAGGATCGAACCCAGTGACCTCTAAATGCAAGGCAAGTGCTTTACCACTGAGCTACACAACCCCAGCCTGTTGATGACTTATTTTTTTGTACTGGGAATTGAACTCAGGAGCACTTTACCACTGAGCTACTTCCCAAACCCTTTTTATTTTTTATTTTGAGACAGGGTTTCACTAAGTGTGTGGGCCTTGCTAAGTTGCTAAAGCTGACCTCAAACTTGCACTCCTCCTGCCTCAGCCTCCTGAGTTGTTGGGATTACAGGCATGCTCCACCATGTCCAGTTTGATGACTTAAATTCTTTAGGATAAACACTGAGGAATGGTATAACTGGGTCATATGGTGGTTCCATTCCTAGGTTGTTTTTTTTTTTTTTTTTTAAATCAGGGATTGAACCCAGGGGTGCTTAACTACTGAGCTACATCCCCAGCCCTTTTTTTATTTTTTGATTTAAGACAGGGTCTCTTTAAGTTACTTAGGGTCTTGTTAAATTGCTGAGGCTGGCTTTGAACTTGGAATCCTCCTGCCTCAGTCTCCTGAGCTGCTGGGATCATAGGTGTGTGCCACTGTGCCAGGCTTCCATTCCTAATTTTTTGAAAAACCTCCTAAGAAGGTACATATTTTAAAAAGCAAGAAGATGCACAGGGCATAGTAGAAATAATAACAGCAAAGATTTACTACAGCATATGCCAGCCTCTGTGCTAAGTATTTTATGAATATTAAGTTATTTAACCCTCACCGTGGTCTGTGTGTGTGTGTATGTGTGTGTGTGTGTGTGTGTGTGTGTGTGTGTTGTAGATGGACAGCATACTTTTATTTTATTTATTTTTTATGTGATGCTGAGGATTGAACCCAGTGCCTCACACATGCTAGGCAAGTGCTATGCCCCTGAGCTACAGCCCCAGCCCTCACCATAGCCTTTTGAGATCCATATGCAGGTGAAGAATGAGGTAAGGCAGTAAGAGTTGAAATGACATGCCCCAGGTCAAGCAGCTAGTTAAGTGGCAGTGCTGGGGTCATCCCCCTCTGGCCTCTCTGGGTGCCCAGGATCACTGTTTTATACTGCCTTAGACTCAGGGGCTTACAATTTAATCTTGCCTCTAAGTGACTGTGTGATCCCAGGCAAGTCTCTTCTCCTCTTTGATCTCAGTTTCTGCAACAACAACAATAAAATAGGGTTGGGTGGAAAGGACTAGTTGTTTTCTTCGATCTCTGTTTAGTGAAGTAGTAGATAAGAAAGTAAAGGTAACAAAATTGAGATGAAGTAGAGGAAAAGGGGACATCATTAACTCATGGAATGTATGGTACTAGGTGAGTATCTCAGAAGACACATGACAGGTGCAGAGCTTAGACTGGGTCATCTCAGCTTGAGGGACTTTAGGGAAAGGAGTCTAGCAACCAAGGATTCATCACTAAGAACTTCCCAGAGTCTGGAGCCAGCAGCTAGGTGAATGAAACAGAAATGGGCAGCTCTGCAGGCTTCCTGCTCAGGACACATGAGAGGTGAGGAGTGAGTTGTGAGTGTATTTATACCTGTGGGTATGTGAGTCTGTGGAAACCCCTCTCTCCTACCCTAAACCTTAGCCACAAGGACCTCAGAAGTCAAACTCTAGGAGAGACACTAGTGTGTAACAAGTACTATGGTGGACGCCTTCAGAAGTCCAGGAGCAGCAAGGGGGTCAGTGTCCATGCCCAGCTCTGGAGATCCCATTGCTCTCTCCAACAGGCTTGAGAAGGCCAGACGGACAGGATGAGCTGCCTATTGGTGGCTTCCCTGGGTTTCTTCACCCTAATTACCTGCAGTTTCACCGTCCCCCACTTCTTACCTCATTCTCCTACTATGACCATTTCTGTCCTTGTGTCTCCTCCCTTTTCACCCCCAACTTTAATGTCAGCTTTCCATTCTCAGAGCAGTTGCTGCCTTTTCTTATCTTCATGAGTGAGTTTACCCCCTCAAGTCTCTAATGACTCTGTGTCTGCTGTTATTTCCCAGACCATGTTATTTCCAGTCTGTAGATCTCACTAGAGATCCAGAACTACACATTCAAGTGCCAGCTGGAGGTCCCCTCAGACATTTCCTTGCTTCCATTTGAGTTTCCAAGA